CACGGCGCCAACGACTACGAGAATTCGGCGATGTGTGCCCAGCTTACAGATCAGAAAACGGACGACTGGGTACGATCACTTTATAAATAAGCTCCAAAACCCATTGAAAACCCCGGAGGTGATTGCAAGGACAGTCAGCTCGTGGCAAACCCTGTCCAATCAGATCTAGGCAAACCAAAATGACACACTGCCACATGTTGACCACAGCCACGATACGGTGATATAGCGCCGCCGTAAAGAGAAACCGAGTTGATGACATCATCCCTCCTCGTTGCCAGGTGAAGGGGCTGGTGTATGAGATGATCACGCCACTGTTCCCAATTACCAGGTGGAGGAGCTAGTGCGCGAGATGGCGCACGTGCTGAACCGGGAGCTGACGGAGCGGCACCGAGCAGACAGCCAACTGCTGATGCTGCGACTGCAGGTCACCAGCGAGTGAGTGCCCGATTCCGGTCAGGGTTCAGTGGGTCATGTCAGGGTTCATAGACCCAGGCCAGGGGTCAGAGACTCTGGTCAGGGGTCAGAGGGCCAGGTCAGGGTGCAGGGCTTAGGTCAGGGGTCAGAGGCCTCCGAACAGGAGTCAAGAGAGCAAATCAGGGGTCAGGAGCGCAAGTTGGAGCTAAGAGGTTTAGGTCAGGAGTCAGTGGCTTAAGTCAGGTGTCAGGACTCTGGTCAGGGTTCACGTCAATGGCCGGGTCAGAGGCGCAGTTAAAACATCAGGAACTCGGGGTGAGTAGCAGGGGCTTTGCCCGGCGGTCAATAACTCTGGTCGAGACTCGTGGACTCAAGTCAGGAGTCATTGATCCAAGTCAATGCTCAGGGACTCGGGCCGGGCGGCAGAGGCCCAGGTTCAGGGTGGGGGCTCCGTGGCCTGCGGCTGCCGGACATCATGTATCCGTAGACACCGCTGTGTCAACAGGGTGCATAATTGGACGGGAGTGAGAATCGGTGCCGCCCTCCTACACCATGTGCCACCTGAGGTGTCATTCGGACGTAATTTACGTGGTTGGGACGGTGGCTTTCGTTACATCGCTGGAAAGAGCGTTGCTGTCTCAGATCTCAAAAGATCGTGGATGTGAGTAATTTGCTCGCCGTTAGTCCATACCACAGCCATGAGTTGTTTGAATGTCTCACTTGAAGGCACATTCATACTGGCTTGATTTACACTCCCAGCCCTCGCAAATTTTCAGTGTTAAGAATATCAAAGAATATCATTAAGTTGATAATAAAAATCCAAAACTGTGCCATATTCCACACCTATGATGTCAATATGTCTGTTTTTAGGGAGTGCACGGAGAACATCACCGCAAGCTTCAGCGACGTGGACAAGCGGGTGACCTGGGAACAGCTTTTTAACCAGACGAAACACAAATTAGGTACGTACTGCGTTGGTGTGCTGTCTAAATTAGCACCCAAGCTACGTCGTCAATAGGACTTCACGACGCACCCAGCCGCTGAGAACATGCGGCAGGAAGGGCGGGAAGAGCGCTGAATCGACCCGGCGCTTACCGGTTCACAGACGGGCTGCTTAACCGCTGCGCCATCGGCTCCTCCAGTATCTGATGTACATGCATGATGTACATAGTGTCATTATGATTGACATTCATCCTCTTTGTGGCCACCATCGCAACGAGTGCATGGGGCACGCAATTATTGGTCGGACACCTGCAGTTCCGCTCTACTTATGCTTCTATCGGTGGCGCTGCTTAAGATCCGCTGTCTGGTCGGTTAACACCACCGCACGCATCGGTTTTGAGCGAGGCCATTCAAAACAAATTAAACGTACGATTCAACCAAGGTGCCAGTATGATAAAGCCAGGAGCTGTCAGTGTCCGCTGCTTTTGAAGGCCGCAGCAAGCCTGCTATGGTCTGCCCCCGCTCACCGCCCGTGCTCTGCCCCCGCTCACCGCCCGGGCTCTGCCCCTCTCACCGCCCGTGCTCTGCCCCCGCTCACCGCCCATGGTCTGCCCCCTCTCACCGCCCGAGCTCTGCCCTTGCTCACCGCCCATGGTCTGCCCCTCTCACCGCCCGTGCTCTGCCCTTGCTCACCGCCGTGCTCTGCCCTTCTCACCGCCCATGGTCTGCTCCCGCTCACCGTCCGTGGTCTGGCCCCCGCTCACCGCCCGTGCTCTGCCCTTGCTCACCGCCCATGGTCTGCCCCCGCTCACCGCCCGTGCTCTGCTCCCGCTCACCGTCCGTGGTCCGCCCCCGCTCACCGCCCGTGTTCTGCCCCCCAGTCGAGAGCTTGGACCAGCGGCCGGTGCCCCGCTTCCTGCAGCCGATCCCCGTGAGGAAGACTCGCGCTGGGCTCCAGTTCACGTGCGCCGCCCCCACGCTGGCGCCGCACACCGAGAGCGGCAAGGACGTCTGGGTCTGCAACAGGTCATGCCGGATGCGGTGATGGAGAGGCGTACAGCAGGCGGCAGCATAATCGGCATCATTTGAGCTCAGGGAGGGCTCAAATGATGCGTTTTAGGATATGCGTCAAAAATGAGGGTTTTAGCTGTGTCGTGTTCATTATCGCTGCTCCATAATGTGAAGGCACGCATTCGGCTGCACAGATGTATACATTTCTAGTTGCCCAATGTGCAAATTCGATGTAAAGCAAGAAGGTGATGTTTTCCCCCAATATAAATCTGGATGTAGTGTTGTATGATATTTTCATGCAGATGACATGTTTGGAAAACTGACACTCTCGACACAAAGCCCGTCAACACACAGCACACAAGTATTGTTTAATGTTAAACCATGGGTTTCTTGCTAAGTGAGATGCACCAATGAACACTAAGTACGCAGAGCATATCTCCTTGCATCTTGGGTTTCAAACACGAATGTTTCATGGAGCAAAACCAGTCGCCCGATACATGGGCTGACATGTTGTGCACTAATGCTATAGCGCCAGCGGGAAGGATAACCTGTTGTTCTCCACTGTCTCCAGTGACGGCTACGTCGGCCAGATCTGCACGCTGAGCCTCCGTCCGGAGCCGGCCGTGACGTCCTGCAACGGCGTGTGCAACTCGCGCATCCTGTGCATGGTGCCAGTTCCCAGTCACCCGGCCCGGTAAGCGTGACCTAACCGGTGAATATGATGAACTTCTGCGCTTGCTTTTCCGCTGGCATGATAACAGTTGAAGCAGCCAAGTTGAGGCCGTGTTTTCTGGCTGGCTGGCGTTGAACCGCGGCGGGTGAACGGGTGGCACGCCGATCCGCCGATGATGCGTTGCTGACAGCGCGTGCAATTCCAGCAGACGCTGCCGGGTTCAATTCGCTGCCGATGACGCTGCGCCGAGGTCGGCGGGGGAGGCGCAGGGCCGTGCCGCCCGGGTGTCCAGCGGGCGCAGCAGCTCCGACAGGTGGGTGTTGTGAGCCTCGCGCGTCACCTGCTCCGCCGAGTGCGCCGCGCCCCGCCCCCCCAACCCCCCCCCCCCCCCCCCCCCCCCCGGCGCTGCGCGTGCGTCAACAGGCTTCTCGCGGGGGCACCGCTGGCACCGGCGCGCGCAAAAACGGGGCGGGGCGCCTGCAGGCCGCCGGCCCGATAAATACGCAATCATGCGCGTGCCCCGAGGCTACGATGATGTTTGTTAGTGGCGGCACGGTCGTCTGCGTTATTCATTTGCGTCATCGATCGGGAGGGTCGGCCGACGGCGACCGGACGTCACCGGCCCCCCGGGCGCCGACGCCGACCGCCGTCCGCCGCCCGGTGGCGTGTGGCCCGGCCTGTTTAACAAGTCATGACCTCGACACACGACCGGCGGGTCCGCCGCCCCCGAGGGCGCGTGGTGATAGCGGCCGTGATTTGCGGGGCGGAGTAATGCTTGGCAAACTAGGGTGGGGGATGTCCATGGGTGCACGAAGTTCAGAGGCGTGCCGAGATTCACTGCGCTGCTGAGGCGCGGTTGGTGATCCGCGATTTTTGAGAACCTATTCAGAGAGTAAGATGCAGCAGAGAAAGTAGTGATGGGTGTAACTTATCAGTAAGGAGTGCACGGTTTAGTTATTTCGACCAACGCTTGCATACTATAACTCGATGATCATAACTCCGCTGAGCAGAGTATTGCGTGAACCCTAACCCTCACCATCGATGGGCAATTCCAGATCAACAGTTAAAATTTGGTGCCGAAAGTTGACACAAAACAATGCTCGGCGTGATCCGCCCTCGCACTCGTTACGTCAACTGTCGCAGCCCGCCGCTGCCACCGGCCGCGGCCATGCCTGTCAAGGTCAAATGGCGAGCACCTAAAGCAGCCTGAACCCACCCCGGCACGGGTGGGTGGAACGGAGGCGGCATGCTAACCAACTGAGCTACCGGGATGGAGACTGTGGAGACCCCGGGTTGACGCGAGCCAACACCACCAGGAGTGAGACTCATCAGCAGAGATATCTCACACACCTCACATGCTTGATCAGAACAAAAAATTCATATATAATTCGGCGGCCACCTCGGGAATCCGCCTGAGACCCATCTCAGACCCTCGGAGTGAATCGCCCCGGTTGAAAACGCCTGCCGTAGAGCTTTTACGAGCTGCTCGGGATAAGGCGTTACCGCCGATGGAATGATGGTTCGGACCTCCGTCCACGTCGTCGGCGTTATTCTTCACACAACGCTTCGGCCCCTTACTCCCTCGGTCGTTGTAAATGTACAAGATAAAATATTACTGAACACAATGCAATAGAAAGAGAAACCAAACCAAGGATTACCTTATTTTACCTAAATCAGTTACATTTGCACTGGACTTCAATTTACTTTGTTGATAGGAGCATGTATGAAAAGCTGGGCAAAGCTGAGAAAAGCGCTATTTCACTTCATGTATGGCGGTGACCATAAGCTCCTGTCAGCCATCCTATAAGAACGGTCAAACATGTTGGCGGCGTGTGTGGCGACAGGGCTTGGTACTTCTAACAAGCGGAGTTTTCTCTACACCCAGAAACCCAAGAAGTCACTTTTGCGGGAGGCAATGTTTTGAGTAACGCGGTCTTCTGTCAAGGTAAGTTTATAAGCTTGCATCCTGATATTGACAGAACTTTTGCACACAGTTTACCGAACAGAAGCATCGGCCACAGGTGGATAAGACGATCACCTAAACAATGTGGTGTGTCGTAGTGAGCAAGTGCTCTGACGGTCAGAGTTTCCCCAAAACCCGTCCCTTAGAATGGAAAACCTGAGCTCCTTGAGAATAACAGTCAACAGTTTGTTTTGCTTTGCCTCGCGGTCTGAATCAAACATGCCTTAGCAAGCTTTGTAATCCAGCTACGAGCATGCATGGGCTTAGACGTGAAGTTCGACACTTTTCTGTAAGATTATGTGGATAGCAACAGGAAACGGCACTTCGCATGGAGTAGGCTTGGCAAGCTCCTCATCATCTTGAATGTTGATATCGAAAATCAGCGTCAATCTCTGGAATCTAATGCATTGCTGTCATTATGAATGACATAATCTGAAGTATTTCGACTGAGAAATAGCTCTACGGCACAAAGTATGCACTTAACTGCAAAACAAAGCCAAATAAGCATGGAAGTTTAACAACAGCATTTCAGCTGAACCACGTGTCTTGGCTGATTCTTGTATAATCAACAATCATGCCTCGAGAATCGATCGCAGCTACCGCGTCCTTGCAAGTACGCCAGGTTACAATTCGAATTACACACTTGTCTTTCAGTAAAAATAGTGCGGTGGTGCAATGTTTTCGCTGGCAATTCTGCAGGGATTATCATTTACAGTACACAAGAAGCCACCTAGGGAGTGGATCGAGTTTTCATTTGGTGTGGATTCTTAAGAAAAGCTGTTTTGATCTACAACCGGTCCACACCAAGTTCAAAACACTTTGTCGACCCGTGTTGACCGATAGCTTTTTTCCACAAGACGCCCAAGTTTATATTTTGACAACCACGATGACATCGTACACTACGACAAGTCGTATACGACACGCAATTACACGACCATACGACACAACTGACGAATATGCTTTCCCCTTTTCCATTTCAGGCCTTCACGCCTGTAAGTACAGAGGTGGCTGAAATCCTACGTGGGAGAGCCCTCTCGAGCCCCTTCGAGTACTGGCGTTCGGGTTGGCTCCAGGTCAATGATTGGCAGGCTCAGAAACAGCATGCACTCTTCGCAGCTGTAGGCAGCTTCGCAGCTGCAGCTGCGCATGAGCTGTGCTCTGGAGTTGTACTCAATATTTTTTTTCTTTGTCATGTCTATGCTTCTTATTCAGCTTGCTGTTCTCTGATCTTCGGCTTGGAAAAGCAGCGTTGCACATCAAGTTCGCAATACTAAGCACAATTAGCTGCTCAGGTGTGCCTGGAAAAGTCGGTTTCCATCAGGACATCGAACCCCAGACCCCGTCAAGTCATGGCAATGGACACTGACTGGGTTATGTCAGGATCCAGGTCATCCCGTGCTGACGCAGTTTATTACAACAATCTCTTTATTGGTGGGTTGGCACGTTTAATCCTATGGAGTAACTGAAGATCCAATTCAGTTCGGACTAACTGCAGACTATTGTAACGTTCTTTTCATGAGAGACATCCGAGATCCGAGAGATCCCAAGCTTCCGACGAGATCCCCATAAACTCATTCATAAGTCTACCTCCAAACATGGCGGCCAAACACCGTACCTAGAGCGCCGCCATCGGACACAATGAGAGTCACACCTATTTCCTGTTTCAGTTGGAATGCCCCATATATAATTTGATAAAGAAATGTGAAAAATTACGTGATATTGGTCAATGCGACAAATGTTAGTGCAAATGAGATAGTGTGCCGAATCAGTGATGAATGAAATAGTATAATGAGTCAGTGATAAGTGAGTAAAGTGAGCATGGATGGGTAGTAGCACTTTTAAGGGAGGGGATAATAATAAAGCCGATCTTGATCACCAATCAAGATCAAGTACAGATTTTTTCCCACAGCACTATTCGACAGAAGTCCGCAATCTGCTGTTCAGCAAACTTATTTTGGTTTCTCCATGGTACATATTGTTATGCGTATTGTATCGTAAAGTTATATTCTATAAATCTCGTTGACTACATAATACAGTTACATGTGGCGCTGTACAGCAGCGATGTAGTGTCAAGGTCAGCGTATAACTAGATGGATATGTGTGATGTGCAGCGTTTAGACGACTCTTGTTGGCCCCAAGGGGAAACGAGCGTTGATGATTGCCTAGCCCATTGATACATTAGGTACTGTACCCATCAACATTTGTGCTGTGAGTGGTCTGTTTGTTTGGCGAAGGCACTGTGTTTAGGGCTTGGACACGCTCCTAAAGAATAGCCCACCCGTCGCAAATCCTGGCTGCGCCCCTGTCATTTGACACCTTGTAGATACGTAGCAGTTGGGTTTTGACATTGTCCTCCGCTCCCTGGCATTAAACCCCCATATGTAGCGTCACATAAATTATCGCCCGGTCACACGGCCTGAAAACTCTTTGAGAACAAAGGCGGTGGACGGCCTGCACCACTAACAGCGGATGTTAACGCCACTTGTGCCATGCTTTGTCCACTCCAGCTCCTCGGAGTCCGACTCATCAGCGGACGAATCCAAGTGTGGCCTGCGCCGGGGGATGGTAGACGAGTCCAAATCCCGCCGTCCGCGGGGTGCGGCGGACGAGTCCAAGCCGTCGGGGGACCAGCCCACCATGTGGCTGGGCACCGAAGACGGCTGCATCTACATCTACAACTGCAGCGACTACGTGCGCGTCAAGAGGACCACGGTGAAGGTGCAGCTGGGCTCAGCCGTGCACGCTATGGTGTACCTGGAGGGCCGAGTGTTCGCCAGCCTGGGCAGCGGCGCCGTCTCAGCGTTTCGGCGAGCGGCAGGTATGCCGATCGATAGGCCCTCCCCTCCGCCTGCTATGAAGGTGGGCTGATTGATTAGTCACGCAACTGCAGGCTTCGCAGCGCCGCGCTCAGCCTGAGTGACCAATCGTGCTCCCTGCTAATGCCAAAGGATGTGGTAGTTTAGGAGGATCAGACCCAGCTGTCGGTTTGTTTTCAGCAGTAGGCACTTACCTCGCTAGTGCCTGAATGACAGTAAATGATTTGGTCACGTACAAAGGAGTCCTGCTTCATCTTAACTGGCGGTCCTGCGACAAAAAGTCCTGTTTACTATCACAAGTCAAAAACAGAGTAGGTTTGACGAGACGAATCTTATCTAATTGTTACAAACCGGTTTTATCTAGGGACAAAGCATGCATTGCTCTTTATCCGGTAATTTATATTTATATGCCACAAAGGAGTGCCTTCAAATGATCACCTACAAAGCTCCAGTTTGCTTTGATAACTTCCGGTATTGTGTTAAAGTATTTTTCTAAGGTATGCCCGGGCATTGCCCAGTCTTCAACAGTCTTGCGCTACAGCAGCTTCTGGGCGGGAAATAGCTGTTTTTCGTCTTGAATGGCACAGTTTCGTCGTTTATATTTTTTACAAATCTTACGTATTCGTAGAGGCACGCTGAGCAGGTAAGCATGCCTCAACACGTCTGAGCACTTTGTGATGATTTCGGTATTGTTCTACCCTGAGGCTTTTTCGTTTGTCTTTCTTTATTTTTTCAACACATTTCCAGAGAAGCTGTAATCGGTCACCAGCACAACAGCATAGGTTAGCTTACGTTAGGTACATGCACTTATTCCTACACCACTGTCCAGGAAAACCATACTGTTGAAAGATGCTCCCCGATTCAGAAAATATAAAATGGTTATCTGCGATCATGCTTCATGTAGCTTTGCTTACAAGTTTTTCCTCGTGTTCATTTCTGTTGTGCCACTTATGTGTCTATATTTGTAAGCTCCGTGTGTTTTCTTCTGTTTGTTTAACCCACATTGTGTAGTAATATGATCCCGGCTTTCTCGACAAAAGTTAAGCCTGTTGTGACGTTTGTCAATGTTTTCAGGCGGCGCCTGGGACTTGCAGAGCCCGCTGGTGATTCAGGTGTCTGCCAGGCCGGTCAATAGGCTGGCGAGTGTCCTAGGAAAGCTGTGGGCATGCACGCATAACCTGGTCAAGGTCGTTGACCCGTCCACAGATACCGTGCAGGTGAGGAAGAACAGTGACTGGCTCGAAAGTCCTGTTGTTGCAAACAGTAAAAACACTCTTCATTGTACGACACACCTTTATCTACGATCGTTCTAACTTAGCTTAGAATCAGCTTAGAATCAGCTTAGAATGTTCTCAGGCATTCTGGCAGGATTTTTGAAAGATGTTGTTGAAGTATAACATATTTTCGCACTTACCCTTTGAAATGGTAAGTAACATTCTGGGAGACTAACGAAATGTTACATTGTATTTGCGGCATACTACAGCGATATATTTCATGAAACAGCCAGTTATTTTGATTAACTAGTACCCTCTGATTTAGGCTGCGTTGATAACGGTAAGCGTGAAAGCATCGTTCAGTCAAGCGGCAGTAGGCGTGAAAGGACCGCTCAGTCGGGTGCAATGAAGTACAGCCCTTGAACGCACGTGTTCATGGGAGCGGTGCCTTGCGGTACAGCATACCGCGGGCGTTCCAGTGGGAGGTGTTGTGCGGTGCAGCATAGCACAATCACACGAACCAGGGATGTATGGCGCCGTGAGGTGATGCTTGAGTCCGCAGTTCCACAGAACGCGGGCAAAAAGCCCGCACGCTTTTAAGAAAACATTTCTGGGAACTTTGCGGGTTTTGGTGAACTCTCAGTGTCTAAGATCCACAAAATTGCTATTCCGAAACCGTACATACATTGAAGTCTTATTACACTACATACTTAACTTTTTATGGTACTCTTCACCGAACTGTTCAATTTGAGAACTAAAACTGGTTTACCTGGCATACAATGCTTTTAACTGGCTGATAAAAGTAGTATGTTGCAATCAGTTCAACAGCAATGAACTGATAATCATTATGCTAGTCAACGGTTCAAGTTACCTTGCGTTTCCTCCTCACAACATGAACTGCAGTCTGCGGGTTTCTCGCAGCCCGGCTGCATTTTCGCAGCAGCTCTTAGAACAGAAGACATAGCCGTCAGCGATGGTAACCGGGCAAAACCATCACAGCTTCGTAAAAAGAGATAAGGGCAACAACTTCGTCTAGTGCGAGTGCATGGCAAACAAGGCGAGCAGTAGGGGTAGCCAGCCACAACGCCCGCCCGACAACACACTGTGCCGGTCAGCAGCAGCGCGCAGGCGGTACTGCAGTGAGGGTAACCAGCCTCTGCGCTTGCCCGGCAGCACACTGTGACGGTCAGCAGCACCGCGCAAGCGGTACTACAGTAATGGTAAGCCAGCTGCTTCGCTCGCCCGGCAGCACACTGTGCCGGTCAGCAGCAGCGCGCAGGCGGTGTTGCAGTGAGGGTAACCAGCTGCTTCGCTCCCCCGGCAGCACACTGTGACGGTCAGCAGCAGCGCGCAGGCGGCTGTGCGGGCGCTCGCCCACTCGGGCCTCGGCGTCTGGCTCAGCTTCGTCCACACCACCACGCTGCGGCTCTTCCACGCGTCCACCTTCGACCTGGTGTGCGAGGTGGACGTCACGCCCGCTGTCACGCGGATGTTGGCAGGTCAGGTCAGGTCAGGCCGGACGGTCGCCGGAGGTCCGGCGACCGGGGCCGCGGCTCACCAGGGCCTGTTCTGCACGCGGGGGGAGGGGGACACCGCTGTGGTGTGTGGCACACTTCAATGTGGCGTGTACTTTAAAGCTTTGAGTTGATGCTCTGTTGTAATAGTAGACTGTGCAAGCACTGGTGTGAGGGATCCTCTATCCTTTTCAGGGGCCCGGTCCACTGCAAATAGCCTCACATTTGTTTTAAATCGGGTCTTGTCCAGGCATGAGCAAACCGGTCAAGCGCTCCAAAATTTAAGTCCCTGAAGTCATTTCGGGAAGTGTCTCCAGTTTTAATGGCAGTGACTGCCAATAACATGATTTCGAGAAGAAGCAACATTTTTCATAGTAAGCCATCAGCAAATCTTTGTACAAAGTTGGCACAAGAAGTCGCTACGTTTTGTGGCGTTGCCAAACCCTGAGAGAAACCGTAACCACTACAGTTTACCTGCCGGGGGATCAAACCCAGACATCTCCGGCTGGAGGCCATCGCCCTTACCTGTAGCCACTTGGACCAGTGTGGCAGTTCCCACAAACCGCATACAAGACTGTTGTACATATGCATTATGTGACACAAAAGGGTTGACTCGCCTATTATGCCATCAGAGGATAGGATGAACCGTGCCGAGCATTGCGGTGCAAACAATGTCGCCACTAAATCATGCCGTTGAACTGGAATCTCGCGACCGAGTGGTAGGGTTCAGGGCACACACAACCAGGTACTGCTTAGCGTGAGCTCGATCTAAAAACATTCAAACGGCTCGGATTTAATTCCGAAAGAATGTCACAAAATGAGCGCGCAGTTTCCTTCGCTGTAACCAGCGGCTGACACGGCTGGCGCCTGTGGCCGAAAGTGGCGCCGGAGTGCTGGCGGTGACCAGGCGCGCGCGCCCGCACCGGCAGGCTGCGACGACATCATCCGGCAGCACAAGACGGCGTGCCTGCGCGTGACGGCGCTGATGGTGTGCAGGAGCCTGCTGTGGATCGGCACATCGGCTGGGGTGATCCTGAACCTGCCGCTGCCGCCGCTGGGCGCTACCACCAGCTGGATCAGCAGCACTCTCAGCATCGCCGGTCAGTGCCGTCCTCCCCCCCCCCCCCCTCTTCCCCTCCCCTTCCCTTCCGTCGGCCGGCGGCCTGCGGTTCGACCAGGAGTGCTCGTGTCTGAGCCACAGCCGTATCGGACCGGAGCGGAACGTCTTGAAACTAGCGTCTGGAGCTCTGCTTGGTTCAGCTGAAAGCAAGTCATTCATTAATGCTTACTTTTGCCAGGCATAGGTCGAAATCTAGTGTTAAGGGGTTCGGTCGTAGCATTTTATGAATGTCTTTGTACAACGACTTGGATGCGAATTTGTCAGGATTAACGGCCATTGATATGCTCTCTTTTTGATGCTGTGATCAGCACGCTTAACCCTAGCACTGGCGGGTCTGCAGGTAGCCACCGCTTCACGAATCTGTTCTGTTGAAATTCGCAGAACGGTTTAGTCAAGCCCTTAAATTCATTGTCATTTTTTATAAAGCTTCCGGATATTTAAAGTAGTGAAGGCCAGGCCATGCCAGGTTAGTGACCAAGGACCATTCTAGTCGAGGCATGTCATGGACCAAGAAATGGATGAGCTTTAGGCATTTCGTCATTACGTAATAATAAGCCTTTCTTCGGTATTCAAAATTTGTTCTAACGATGATGCTCTCGGACCTTCTAATAACGTGCTCTGGTTAGCATAGATGACTGGCCAAACTTGACCTTTAGCTCTGAACCCCATTAACCTACCCGCTAGTAGTGAAATTTACCGGTTTTACTGACTTATTATCCAACAACATAGTCATTCACCTGCAAATGACATTTTGATCACAAAGGCCATCGCAGGACACCAACCTAACTTGACCAGAATGTCTAGATTTGGAAAAATTGCACAATATTGCCGGCAGTTACCAGTTCCAGTTACCTTCTTACTTTATAAAATCGCTTGATAGACGAAACATTACAACACTGACCTCATTCATCACACATGTACTTGACATTTGCTTCACGTTTAGGCATTTGCGCTTTTTTCGTGAACTTAAAGCCTAACGTAATCCTTTGACCAGTACTACATTCGTACATAGACATGGTACTTTAACCCAGGAAAGTCAACATAGGTAACTGACCGAAATTGGAACTGAACTTGGTTATCTTCAAGTCGGTTATGATGAAATTTACGGTTTCAGTCAACAACGGTGGTCGGCAAAGGAACTTCTGGCTCAAAACAACCAACAAATAACCTGGATAACCTATTTATGTTTTGCCAAACGCCCTTTGCTGATGATCATATCTTGCAACTGGCACGATACCATGCGGGACGATCATAATACAAATCTATTTTCAGTCAAAGAGAAAAGGTGTCATTTGACCCTACATAACCTTCAAACCACAGACCTCAGACCTGTGGAGGCAAAATGACCTCAGTGAAATCTGTTGTTAAGCTTCGATTCAACCACTTAAGACCATTCACTCGTCTTTTTCCCTTTCCAATCCGAGGATACCAGTGGGGGAAGGGGGAGGGGTACGTATTCCACATCATGGCAAAAGTGGCGTAGACCAACGACAATGCAAAGGTTAATGTTACCGAATTTCCACGAAGCAAGGTTGAATTTAGACTCTACCGGAAGGAGTATCGGCAACTACTTCATATTTTACGGCGGAACCGGCGCCTAAAAAGCATTGCTGCTTGTCCAGAACGCCCTCAATAACTCGTTGGCCCACGCGTCTGCCGAAGTGTTCGGCGAACTCTCCTCTAGCACAATCAGCAGCACCACACAACGAGCCCAGGAAAATCGATGTGTTTGGGGCAACAAGCTGCCACATCCGGGATCATCGGCCCACTTGGTTGTGTAGTGCCTCGGGTTTCAGAACCCATCGCGACACACCTGAATGTCTCAGTTCTTCGCTCGATATCGCCTCGCCTTCCGGCTTTCCTCTGGATAGTGTGGAAGCCGCGGTTCGTGGTGTCACACCTGCACGGGTGTTCTCAGGGATTTCGCACGGCCACACGGGCCACGTGCGGTTCCTGCCGTGGCTCGTGGCGTCACACCTGCACGGGTGTTCTCAGGGATTTCGCACGGCCACACGGGCCACGTGCGGTTCCTGTCGTGTGTGGACTGCGTGGACCCGGCCGCGGAAGTGGCGGCCCCCGCTCGTGGCAAGCGATACCGACGCGACCAACAGCCGAGGCTGGAGGAGGGCACGGACACCATGGTGAGGGCGCGCGGTCTGATGACGAAGCACAGCACCAGGTCTAGTGTGTTAACGAGTGGAGTGAGCCGGGTGGCTGCTGTCTCATTACCTTTTGCTAAATCTAGTGATAGCAATATGTCCACGGCCGAGAATATTGCTTTTCCTCGTTGACTTGCATGCATTCATTGTAAATTTGCGCTTGTTGGTCGCTTGATTGCAGTGGAAGTAAGGACCCAGAGAATGACAGCACAGTATTCTAGGATCCCTTTGTGTGTGTGTGTATGTGTTCACGTGCACACTATCTGTCAGGATACTGGTGTCGGCAAGATGCTGGTCATCTCCGGTGGAGACGGGTACGAGGACTTCCGCTCGTCGGGCTCCGAGCTTTCCGGCAGGGATGACTCCACCAACCACCTGCTGCTGTGGAGCGTCTGAGGACGAGCCGCGTCACGGCTCGACATACCAACAGGCTGTATAGCTGGTGTGAGGGCTGACCCAAATACTGGGCAGCATCCCAACAATACTGTATTCCTGTGGAATGGCGGAGTACTGGCCGAAAACTAAAGGCTTGGCTCGATCATTCGCCATGTGCTTTGGCTTAACTGACGGTAGGTTATGAAACATGACGAGACCCATCCCTCCAATCACCTAGTCTCGTGGGATAACTCGGGCCTGACTCTGTCCATCTGGGGGAAGAACGCAGCCTTGGCTCCGATATAACTGCGCTGGCTGAAATGTTGCTGTTCGTGCTGTAAGTGTGGCATGTCTTGTAATACTAAGTGTGTAAGGGAGACGTACAGACTGTCTAAAGGCTGTCTTTCTGTGCCCAGACCGAGAAGTGCAGTCAAAATACGTGATCGCGTTACCCGAATACGGTTAAATCATCATAGACAGGATTACGACGCATTGGCGAAATGAGTTTGGTTATAGTTAAGTGTCGCTGTCAACATTATAAAGACTAGTCCGTGCATTTTTGTAGACGTCTGTGGCCTTGACCTAACATGCACGGGTTTCGAACATTGAAATACTTTTATGTTTTATTTGTGGTCGTTTCAGCCTCATTTCGTGGGCTTGTGGGATAGCAGTCGGCGGAATATATTCAGCGTAGTGTTTGCAGACGTCTACGGTTTTCCAAGCCTTGCATTTATACTTTGATTCGGCACCTGGCAGATGCACTAGTTGAGCTTGAAATCTAAGCTTTGTTTTGTACAACTTTCGACATCCTAACATGCAAGCTGTGGTTTTTTGCTCTTCGAATATTGTATATTTCATATTGTGATTCTTGGCTGTAGCTTCCTGTGAGTGATGTGAGCTGTAGCATTTTACATGGCACTGCGATGTGATTTAACAAATACACATATAACGCCAGTTTGGAAGTCAATATCTATGCGCTCGAGAGGCTAGTTTGTTGGTGCGTGACTGATTATTAGACATTGTCTGCTAGACGAATTGGATGAGCCTGTATTCAGTGCAGCCGTAAGCAAGTTTGTGGAAAGTGTGATAAAGATGTGGTGGTCATGGTAAATGAGAGGAATACAAGCCTATAATGGAGCACGAGTGTGTTCTATGTTCTGTTCGCGAGAATAAAAAACACGCCACAATAAGACAGCCCACATTGACGGGTTCGTACTTGACGGTTCCTGAGTCCACATCATGCTATGTCTGGATATTTAGCTCTTCACTCAGCCGGAAAATCGGTAAATTTCACTGTCGGTTAGTCTTCTTCCCCAATCGTCTTGCCATATGCGTTTTGTGCCTACGCGTCAGCCATGCGTCAGCTATGCGTCATCTTCGCTTGGTGAGATGCTTCACATCACGACAGCACGTCCGCGGCTTCACCGAGCCGGCCCGCCCGCGTGCGGCGCAGGCGATATCGACGCGCCATCACCGGCCGCCGCAGTCACCCGCGGCGGCCGGACGGCACGCGTCCGGCGCCGAGAGCCGGAGACTGCGAGAAGACGACAGGAGGCGAGCTCCGGCCCGCTGCCGACACGCTCGGTCGCGGGATGAGGAGACTGCAGCGGAACCGAGAGCTCAACCACGGCCGGCAACGCCCGACGGCCGGCCGCGGCGCGTCGCAGTCGCCGTGCCAGCTCGCTGCCGCCGGTGGTCGCCCCAGGGCACGAGGAAAGCGCGTGACCAGGCTACGGCTTGCGACAGGCAGCGTGACACACGATGGAGCGTGCCCGAGGTGCTTTTGCGCTCGCAGCGAGTTTTGCGGTAGCGAACAGTGTGCAGTCATAGCATTGGGCACCAGGAGCATACATCGGATCTAAGTAGGTAAGAGCCGTTGTCGAAACCCGATGTGTTTTTAAGGGGCAG